TTTATGGTTGGGGTCACCACAACATGAGGAACTGTATTAGAGGGTCGCGACATTAGGAAGGTTGAGAACCACTGGTTAAAGTGTGATCTGCAATCACCCTCACCTTAATTGGTCTCCTTCCTTGTCTCTTGAAATTCTCCTTGCACTACCTAGGCCAGAGGTTTTTTGTTTGTTTGTTTTTGTTTTTAAAATGTAGATTCATCTATTCAGCAAAAGCAAGCACCTGCCATGTGTGCCAGGCACGTATTGGGCACTTTAGATATTGTAGAGGTATGCTGTCCTCATTGAGTGGATAATGTACTGGGGTATGCAGGCTAATAAACATATAAAGTAATGACAAAAGGTGATTAAATAAACAACTGTGGCAGAGAAGAACAGGAAAGTCTTCCTTTAGGCATTTATCTGAGATTCTATTTGAACGAAAGGGCTGCCAGAGCAGTCTGGCAGAGGGAATAGGGGCTCCTGTTAGGAGATAGGTTGTTGGAGGAATGGGTATAGTGGGAGCTCTGTGAGTGTGGAGAGCCAAGGAGGGAGGTATGGAGAGGTATAAATGTCAGGTAGGGCTGGTGGCCAGTGAAATAAGCTTGCATTTTTTTTTGTAGATGCCCATAAGGAGTTTATAGTTGCACAATTTTATGTAAACATTTTAGTTGCACATTTTTTTAACTAGATGGCTTATAAGGAGTTTATTGTTGCTCCATGACTTCAACAATGGGTTCAAGCATAGGCACAATTGTGAGGAGGGCACAGGACCGGGCAGTGCTTAGTTTTTTGTGGATACGGTTGCTATGGGTCGGAACAGACTCGATGGCACCTAACAACAATGTGAAGAGTTTGCCCCCCCACCCTTCCTCCCCAAGAGTCTTGCAGAGGCTTCAAATTCATACTTGATTTATATTTTCAGGTCATTGAGGGAAATGGATTGGTGTTCCCTTTCAAATTATTGCTAGTTCTTTTTCTCGTCTTTTAGCGCCCGCTCTTATATTTTCCTCTCTTTGGAACATTATAGGGAGGGGCACATAGATTAAGTAAAATGGTCATTATTGGGCCTCAAGACGATAGTGAGTGGAAGTAAAATTTGGAAGGGCGCATTTGACTTCCTAGTGTTTCTCATGATTCCCCTTGGGAAATGAGTGGG